TAAATTTTTATTTATATGAGATTACTATTTTTATAAAATTTTAATTATATCATCTTAACTAATTAAATAATAAAATAAAATAAGTAAATAATAAAATATCATCCCCCCCCCCAAGTTAGCGTAATGAGATCATATATGTCCAACTTATAAAACAAAGTCTGAAAAGTCATCCTGCAGTCTACAAAGGCGTATGCATCCGGAGGAGCCAGAAAAAGGATCATAAAAAGCTAGTTGGAGCAGCTCGCGCACGGAGGAAGCAGATCTGTCTCGTAAGGCAGTAGCTCGGCTTGGCTCAGATGTGCTCGGCTCAACTCTGCTCAGTTCAGCTCAACTTGGCTCGACTCGGCTCAGATCAGCTTGGCTCATATCGTCTTGACTCGGAGGCGGCTCGGCTCAAAAGTGGTTCGACTCACTCAACTCGGCTCCTGACAGATCTGGTTATTTTCCGCCACATGCAGACCCAAAAAATGGTTCTCTCCCGCAGCGGTCTGCTTTCCTTCACGCACAGATCTGGGTCAGGTCCTACTCCTTCGGCTACTGTTTTCTCATGTGCCTATCGGTCCAGCTCAGATCTGAGTAGATCTGCCCTTTCACAACTTCCTCCACCTCGATCTGCTTCACTTCGTGTGGAGATGCATAGACTATTTTTTCCAAATTGGGGCCGCCTCACCGATCGCTTCGCCGGCAACGCACCTTCTTCTGGTGTCGCGCCGGATTTGGTATCCAGATCAACTCTCTCCTACCAACCGCCACTCACTGCTGCAATTTGAGCTGGTTCTTACTCTCTCTCTCTCAGATCTAGCTTTTTAGGATAGCGATGAGAGTTGATCTGGATAAACGGGTACCAATCCAGTCTATTGTTGCTATTTTAGGATTTGAAAGAATTTTGAAATTAAAATTCTAAAATAGTTTTATTTGACTTTGATACCATATTGATTTTTGAATAAAAAATAATAATTTTATTTCTTACCCTTTATCTTATTACATTTAAAGTATTTATACAATTTCTAATCTACTAATAAAAAAAATTTTAGTTTATTAGAATTCTATTTATATAATATTACTATTATCATAAAATTCTAATTATATCATTTTAACTAATTAAATAATAAACTAGAATGATTAAATAATAAAATATCCTAGTCAACAAGTTGAAATTAATTCGGATCATTATCAAGAAAAAAAGAAAACTCAGCCACCTTTTAGGCACTAAAACAAAACCAGGAGGACTCTGCCTTTGACGTATGGGATGAAGAAGACTCAATGATAATGGCGCGACTCTGGAACTCTATATCGCCTGAGATAAGCAAAATAATTATGTTTTTGTCTACAAGTAAAGAAGTATAGGACGCTATCAGAGAAACCTAGTTTAAAGTAAAAAATGCAGTCTAGATTTATGACTTGAATGTCAAGATATGATACATGAAGTAATAAATTAGGTCAGTCATTGAATATCTAACAAGTAATGCAGAAAGGTTGGTGGCAGGAATTAGATCAACATTGCAATCTTACAATGGATTGTAGCACGGATGTACCCACCTCAAATAGTTTGTGGATAAAGACTTAGGGAAAGACAAAATGTCATCATTAAATAAAGCAATTACTATTGTATCAGCAAAAGAGAGCAGGAGAAGGATCATGTTAGAATTTTGGCTCGTCGATAGCATC